GTTACTCAAAGCAAAAATTATAAATATCGATAAGAAAAAATTTACCGTGGCTTTATCTACTCGTCCTCGTGAAATGACTACCGGAAAAAATTCACCCATAATTCGTAAGAAGCTCGATGAAGACTATGATTATGAAGCCGAAAGAAATTACACACCGAAAAAAGGTATTTTTTTTTTAATGTAAAATTTGCATTAGGAATAATTATTAATTAACTTTACGGGTTTCAGTCGAGCACAAGAAGGCTCCTACCAAAGGTCCAACTCGTGTAATACCTCATCCACTTTTTCACCAAAAAACTTATATAGAAGCCATTGAGTACCTCGCTGATAAAAGCAATGGTTCTATTGTCATCAGACCATCATCCAAGGGGTTTGGCCATATCGGGATCACGTGGAAACTTTATAATAATATATATCAACACATCGGTAAGTTAGTAATTTGGCATGTCTGATATAAATTACAATATAGAATGTTGTATTCTTACTTCACAATGTTACAGATGTTGTAGAAAAGGACAGAGATGGAGCTCCTGTTGGCCGTAGGTTGGAAGTAGAAAATGCACGATATGTCTATTCTGATTTGGACGAACTTATCGTTGAATATGTGGAACAAAAAGCTCGAATGGTTGATGAGTTAACAAACCATATGAAATTCAAACCTTCAGAAGAGAATCTGAGTATGTTTTTTGTTAATTCTCTGTTAGATTTTCACCATAATGATTAATATTATTTGTATTATTACGGTATTTAGAGAATTTCCTTGATATGAGTTTGAACGTGAACTCTAAACAATCTTCGTACGGTTTTTGTCTTGATCCTGAAATACCGGGAGGATTTTGCCTTATGTTCAAATTCAAGCAAAATTCGAACATTGAAATATGGGTATGCCTTTTTATTTATTTACTCAATAACTTTAACAAAATTTAATGTTTTCCGACATTTATAGAAAGGATATATTAAACCAGAAGGATACAAATTAAAAGGAGAATTGTATCCTACGGTAATAGAAATGATCAACGGATTTAAGAAAATAATTTCTCAGACACGAAGTTCCGGCAGCATGGGCCATTTAAGAAGATAAGGTACGCATGTTATTGGACATAATTATATTGTTCCAAATGTATCAATAAAAGTAAGTTATAATTTTATTAGCATTTCACTTTAGCAATTATACTTTTGATTGTTCAAAATGGAGACTGATGCATAATGAACATTAAATGTTGCTTCCAAAATTTTTACTATTTTGTTTGTAAATAATGTAAATTTCGAATTCTTGATTGTATCAATTTTTATTTTTTTTTTATTGTAAATAAGTATAAAATGCAAGACTTTATTGAATTAAATTAATTTTTTGTTATTACATTAAACATTCCATATGATCTTAACGAATGGAGTTAATACTAGTCTAATGAATGTACTAATTATTAATATTTTAAAAATAACATAAACATTGAAATTAAAGTTTGTTAGAGCAAAGAATATTGTTAAAAAATATTAATATGATTTGTTATGCTAAGGTTTTGATAATATGATTTCGATTTATGAAATTATAAAATTATTAAAATTAAATTGAATATTGCGACCTGAATTACATAATTAGAAGATTGTTTTATTTGAAATTATTGAAGATGAATGAATCCATAAAATTATTTAACTTGTTTTTATATATGACATGTTAAATATTATATTGTTTTAATTATTAATATAAAAAATTTAATTGATATATTGTATATTGATTAATTAATAAGAAAAGATATGAAAATTAAAGATATAATACTGTATATATATATATTTAACACTGGTTGGACTTTGTTTGATATATTTTATTTAATATTGATATTTATTTTAGATTGTTTTTAATACAATTATATTATAATTTCAATTTTGTTGTTTATATACAATGTGTTGCAAAACTTTTTTGAAATTTTTTTTTAAAATTTTAATTAATAGTAAATTAAAAAAAAAATTTTTTTATAAAGAAAATATAATATTATTGTTATTAATAATTTTTAGATTTATTTTAGGAAACTACTATTTGCATCATGCACTTTCAATGACAAAAATGGAGTGTCAGTTTATGTGATTTCTGACCTCATTGATGTTATATTATATAATTTTTAAAGAGAGAAACCAATCATAAAAAATTAATGTTTGTTTTTGAAAAACAGCTTGCATCTCAAAATTTTTCATATGAAACTATTTTTTGTTCTAATAGAAAAGTTTTTTGTGAAATTTTACTATATGTTAGATTCTTGTATAGCTTTAATCCTAGATTTTCATATTTTACAATCTAATTCTGATATGGTCAAAAATCACATGAACCAATATCTTGTTTTTGTCATAAATATAAAGATCTTTGATATCATTAGATATATGTATACTCCATATGATTATGTACATCATTCCTTTCCTGTTATCCATACCACTTGATCAAGATATTATTACTGGTACTGCCAGTATACTATATTATCTCAGTGAATTTTGATTGCAAAAATATTCCACTCTTTTTTTTTTTTTTTTTTTTTAATCCCGCAATCAAGTTGGTGTCGTTTATTTATTAAATCATAAAGAACCATCACACGCACGAGAATACATGCAAAGTACAAATTTCCCCGA